GGGGAAAGTCTGTCTCCCTTAATGCCATATAATTTTTTGTCATTTTCTAATGGTGCTTATCAAATTCTGAGTTGAATTTAAATACAGATTTGATTTGATTTACTCCTCACCTTCAATACTCTACTACTCTTCTGACTTATTCACACGTCTTAGATTATAAACTCTTAAAGGCCAGGGACCCTGGTTGGTCCCTATAGTATCTATTACAGTGTTTTATACAAATTGTAGCTAAAATTTATTTAGTATTTATAATACTATATGCCAGACAATGTGCAAAGTACTGTGTATGTATTAATTTACTGATTCTCACAACAGTCCTTTTGTAGCTGAGGAAATAGGCACAGAAAGGTTACGCAAAGGAAGGCCGAGAAAGGTCAGTGCTACTTAATGTGCCAGTCTCAGTGAGTTGGAGCCAGAATATAAATCAATGCACGCCTTTCTTCGTCAAGAAAGTCTTGTTAACCTGGAGAATGGACATGCTTAAAGTTCTGACACGGCCAGGGGAAGGGGGAGGGATGGCAAGGGCAATATATGTAACCTTAACAATATTTGTACCCCCATAATATGATGAAATAAAAAGGAAAAAAAATGTCTTGTTAAAAAAAAATAAGCTACATCACTAAACACACTGCATCACTAAGCACACTGTTACAGTATATTTAGTGATATAGTTGATTTACATTCTGGTGCAAGTTTCTTATCTTTTTGTGGATTGGGATCAGTGTGAAAACCAGGAGGTCCTTATCTTTGAGTAGCACTGGGTTAAGCAGCCTGCCCAATCAGTGTGAAAACCAGGAGGTCCTTATCTTTGAGTAGCACTGGGTTAAGCAGCCTGCCCAAAGTTATAACTTTAGTTAGAACTAGAATTTGTAATGAAACATTTTGGTTCTAGAGCCCATAGCTCTTAATACTAACTGCATTGTACTATAGATTGTGTTAATAATAGTAAATATTTATTGTTGGATTATAATGTAATAATTGAAAAATTTTTGGCATCATAGATATTTTAATTATGAAACATAGTTTGTATCTTGCTTTAAAATGAAGTCTTGTCTTTACATTATTTCAGAGGATGAACTGTTATTAATAGTTTTTTTATCTTTTAATCAGCTCTGGGAGACAAAGAAAGTATGTAAGAACTATGATATAGTGTTAAAGCAAGAAGTAGATGTTGTATTTCAAGAAAATGGAGTGATGGTCCTCGCAGTTGACAATATAGGACGTCTACAAGTGAGTAATTTTAAGAAAACAATTGGAAAAATTGTTTTAGTTGAACTCTGAACTCACAGTTTTTCTTGTTTGTTTTGAATTAGGGATCAGGCATAATTGTACAGTATGTAACAGGTGCCCAGAAAGCATTAGTGAATAAATATATATGCCTGTATTTAGAATTAAGTAAGGTAAAACCTCACTTCACTCTTCTCCTATTAGAATCTATAATCTCATTTCTTGATTTGTATGGAGTCTGGGAATACCATGAGGACAAATTTGAACTTGTCCACAAGAGGGATTTGAACATGTCTGATGGAATGTGCATGGGGGATGAGCATACTAATGTGAGCATTTTTACAGGGGAAGGACAATAGGATCTTTGAAAGAACAGAAGTCACTTTAAGTGATGAAAGAGTCTGACTTATTGGAACTGAGCTGGGCTTTATATACTGAAGCGCACATGTATACTCGTTTACTCACACATTTGTTCAATAAATATTTATTGAATGCTTATTATGGTCCTTGAGAAGGAAAGGGTTGGGTAGTAAAACTGAAAGAACTGTACCGCTTAGGGATCCATATAGCACTACTCTAGATTGCTCATCCCTTGCCCCCCAGCAAAAGTTGGGACACATGATAGGAAGGTGTTTCTTGGCTGGCTGAAGAGAAAAGGAGTCCTAGAGATCCACTGGCAGAGGAATAGTATTTAGGAACTCGGAGTGGTGGTAAGAGAGAGAGCAGATGCCCTAAGGAGCATTGGAGTTTTCAAGAACAGGTTAGCACTACTGTGCTGGTGGCCTGGGTAAAGAGTCATCTGAGTGGAAGTCCAGTGCAGTTGGTACTGCATTGAAGGAGACATCCTGGAAGTGGTAATGACGTTATAGGTGTAAGTCATGGTAGCAAGAGAAAACAAACACCTCATTGAAGGTCAAACACAAGAGACTGCTTGCATGTTAGCCAGCTCAAGCAGAACACCTGAGTATGGGCCATCATGGAGGTGTTAGCATGTGGAGCTGAGTGACAGTGGTGACTTTTGGCTGAGAGGGTGATTAAGAGCAGCAACCAGAGAAGAAGAGCCAAGGTCGGCATGGCTTGTATGTGAACGAGTGTGACATTCTGCCTTGTCCTGAGGATTCCCTGAGAGACATAGGATTGGGAAGGACAGAAACCCCTGACATAAGTGAGAACTAATGATCCTGTGAACTATTTCTCACAGTGTATTTGTTATTTTAGGACCTTTCACTAGTCTTTAAGAGCATGAATGCAACTTGAGTTAACTTTTTTTTTCAGATAGGTTTTAGAAGTGCCTATTAACTTCTAGGGAGAGGTTTTAGCATTGATATTGTGATCTTATGCCATCTTTGCATTTGATTTTTCTTGATTTGCTTATTGAAACATAGGAAGCATTCTCATGAATAGTGTGTGAAAGAATAGTGAAGTAGAGCTACAGAGCAGAGAGGAACAGAGAAGAAGACAGAAAAATAAAGCATGCACATGGAAGGTGTGAGAGGTAGCAAGAGATTGAGACAGACTGACAGAAGGTAGGAAGGGCAGAGCTTAACACATTCTAAAGATGCAGAAGTCAGCTTGATGTATTGGAAAGAATAGACTTTTCACTCAGGAGACCCATGTACAAGTTCAGACAGTATCATCAACTAGTTCTATGATATTGAGTAAATTGGCATCACCTCTAGAGCTCAGTTTCTTCAACTGTAAGGTCCTTTTCATGTTCAAAAGTCTGAGCTAGTTACAGGATCAAGGTGGAATCCAAATTCAGAAGACAGATGCCTGGGAGTAAATTGTTCATGATATATGGTAACTTCTCATCTACTGTGGTGGTCAGAGCCAAGCTACAAGACACCCCTGAATATGGCCTATTCTATATTTTACAAGTTTTACTATTGTCCTCAATGTGTTGATTAGGAGCTCATAATGCCCTATATTTCTGGGAAGAATTGGGATGTGGAATTGAATATAAATTTCTTTCTTTTTTTTTTTTTTTTTTTTGAGACAGAGTCTCACTCTGTTGTCTGGGCTAGAGTTCTGTGGCATCAGCCTAGCTCATAGCAACCTCAAACTCCTGGGCTCAAGCAATCCTACTGCCTCAGCTTCCCGAGTAGCTGGGACTACAGGCAGGTGCCACCATGTCCGGCTAATTTTTTCTATATATATTTTTAGTTATCTAGCTAATTCCTTTCTATTTTTTTAGTAGAGACAGGGTCTCACTCTTGCTCAGGCTGGTCTCTAACTTCTGAGCTCAAACAATCCGCCCACCTTGGCCTCCCAGAGTGTTAGGATTACAGGCATAAGCCACCACACCTGGTCATAAATTTCTTTTTTTTTTATTTCGGCATATTATGGGGGTACAAATTTTAAGGTTTCAAAAAATGCCCTTCCCCCCCCCACAAGTTTGAGTTTCCAGCGTGACCATCCCCCAGATGGTGCACATCTCATTCATTATGTATGTATATACCCGCCCCCCTCCCACCTGCCCAATATCCTATTACTGTAGTACCTATGTGTCCATTTAGGTGCTGCTCAGTTAATACCAGTTTGCTGGTGAGTATATGTGGTGCTTGTTTTTCCATTCTTGGGATACTTCACTTAGTAGTATGGGTTCCAGCTCTAACCAGGAAAATATAAGATATGCTATATCACCGTTGTTTCTTAGAGCTGAATAGTACTCCATGGTATACATATACCACATTTTATTAATCCATTCTTGGATTGATGGGCACTTGGGCTGTTTCCACAGCCTTGCAGTTATGAATTGTGCTGCTATAAACATTCAAGTGCAGGTTTCTTTTTTGTAGAGTGTCATTGGATCTTTTGGGTAGATGCCCAGCAATGGGATTGCTGGATCAAATATTGCTTTAAGGTATCTCCATATTGCTTTCCACAGAGGTTAACTGGTTTTTAGCAAGCTGATTCTTCCACTTGGAATATTTTCCAGTCCAGTTTTCTTGTCAAATTCAGTGTCCTCATGCTTGTATTTTGCTTATTAAATTTGTGCAGTCTTTAAGAGTTTTGTAACTGTGAGACTTAAAAGTCATCTGACTATAAAGGTATCATTTTATTTTATGTTGTGGTTGTGGGAGAGTTTAGAGGATAAACTGACAAATAAATAGTTTCATTTAAGTGAACAAAACATTTTTTAGTTAATGCTTAAAAAAGCTCTTGAAATTGATTTTTGAAAGAAGAAAGATATTCATCTTTTAGTAGTTCAGTATTCATTTTGAATATCTAATAGACCAGAACATGCTGCACAAAATATTGCAAAGGAAAAACTACCTGTGATTGATTGACCCTATGATCTGCATACCTGAAACAAAGATAATGCTTATTTCATGTTGAAAAATAATTCAGGATTTTTAGGTTATGATAGTAAGTTAGAGAGAGGTATCTGGCAGTTGATTTAAGCTTGAGAAATATTTTTTCAAGTCACATGTATCAGTTGAGTGAGAAAGCATCTTTGTGAGATTTTAAAAAATAATCATTAGCATTGGGTATAGATTATGAAATTGGGTTTAAGCATTACAAGTCCATCTAAGCAAATTATGCTTATGGGGTTTTCACCAATGGCCTTGCATTCCACCCCCCTCCCCACAAAAAGGGAAAGAATCTTAATTTACACTGTTTGTGAGTGATTTGGAGGATATAAAACCCATTTTGATTTGGATTTGTCTTTTTATGTTTGTTTCAGTCTTGTTTCACCAACCCCCTTGAAAAATATCAGAAAAGTGTATTTTAACGAACGATAGAGCCCTATTAAAAATGGGCTTTGTGAAGAAATGGAAAGCAAGGTGTGGAGCTAGCTGTGGGATTACAAATCAGACAGATGTGTCTCAGGTGGTGGTTCACAGCAGCTGCTTTTTAAACCTTTTAAAGCTCGTTTTATTTTATGAAAATGTATTTGAACCACCAAAGTGAAATGAAATGAAAGCATGAAGTACTAAATGCAACTGCTGAGACTAGGATACAGCTTTATTGTTCCCCTGGGAGCTCTTGTTGGTTGTTTTCTGTGTTTTATTTTATTTTTTCAATTGAAGCTTCTGTTCTAAAGAACAAAAACTACTATTATAGCCTAATAACCTATTGTGCCTCATTTTTCATTAGCTCATTAATGGAAAAACAGGTCAGATTGATTATCTGACTGAAGCTCAAGTTAGTTGCTGTTGCTTAAGTCCACATCATCAGTATGTTGCATTTGGAGATGAAGATGGAGCCATTGAGGTATTCATTTCTAGTTTTCAGAATATTTCTGTGCAGTAGAATTATTTATTTAAAATTAATATATGCCTGGCATTGTACACATATACATTAAACAAATCTTTCTATGACTGATTTGTCTTTGCTCTGTTAGACTAAAAATCATCTTATTCAGTTGGTTGTATATTCTTCAGATTGCTTTTATTACTGTTTCTCATACTTTTTGTGTTTTTGCATTCATTATTCCCTATCTAGTTTTCTTGCTGTTCTACACATATCCAACACTATCAGAGATTTAGCTAACTATACAAAGAGTATTTTTTTCTCCTTTTCTTGGAAGCTCAGCCATGTGGGGTGTAAGTTGTTTCCATATTGGTGCTGGTACGGCTCATTGGGAATATCAGCAGGGTGGCCTATGCTTGCCTGCTCTTCCAACCCTTGCTGTTCTACTTTTGGTGTTAGAAGCATACCAGTTCATACCTGAAAGCCTTCACTTATTCAACAAGACCAAATAAGTAAGAATAGAATCCGATTATAAGGCAAAACACGTAATATAATAAAAATAATTTTGTTTCACTCTTTTTCTTTTTAAAGAGATGAAGTCTCATTCTCTTGTCCAGGCTGGAGTGCAGTGGCTGAATAGTAGCTCACTGCAACCTCCAACTCCTGGGCTCAAGATTCTCCCACTTCAGCCTCCTGAGCTGAGACTACAGGAAGGTGCCACCATGTCTAGCTTAAGATCATTTTGGATAAAAATATAATCTTCTTTGTCACAAATGAAATTCATCACAAAAGCACACTTTTTCTAGCTGTATAATTGTGGGTTTTTTGTTTTTTTATTTTGTTTTTTTTAATGAGACAGAGTCTCACTTTGTTGCCCAGGCTAGAGTGAGTGCCGTGGCATCAGCCTAGCTCACAGCAACCTCAATCTCCTGGGCTCAAGCGATCCTGCTGCCTCAGCCTCCTGAGTAGCTGGGACTACAGGCATGCGCCACTATGCCCGGCTAATTTTTTCTATATTAGTTGGCCAATTAATTTCTTTCTATTTATATTAGAGACGGGGTCTCGCTCTTGCTCAGACTGGTTTCGAACTCCTGACCTCGAGTAATCTGCCCGCCTTGGGCTCCCAGAGTGCTAGGATTATAGGCGTGAGCCACTGTGCCAGCCAGTTGCTCTTGATTTAGTAATTAAGAGATGTTCTTTACATGGACATGGCATAGAAATAAATTTTTGTTCTGTTTACTTCTGTGCCTCAGATATGTTTGTATGCTTATTTGGTGCCAGTTACTCATATTATTTCAATCCCTGTCTTTCCCTTGTGTCTGAGTAGCTCTTCCTGAAACTCTCTCTGAAAAATAATGCCCTGTCACTGCTTCTGTCAAATTGAGGATTGCATTAGGGGATAGCTGAGATCTCTGAAGCTTGTAAATTCTATGACCTGGTTTGAAGCTGCTTTGATCAGCTGACCTTCCTGGGCAATAGGGCCAGCAGTGGAGCCAGAATCTGCAGACTTGCCCAGCTTGTAGGTTCAAAAATCTGTAAATATGTAATTGGGATAATTTTCTCTGGAAAATTTAATCAAATGGTGAGCTCACTGGCATATTTTGGCTTTTCTCTATCTTCTGGTATAATTAACTGTTCTCCAAGCAACTGAAGAAAACAAATTTTATTTAGGAGGAAAAGTATTTTATTTTGCCCCTAGTCAAGTTAATTAACCCTAGCTTTTCTCTGTCTGTAAAACACAGGACATCGTATTTTTCCTTGTTACTCTTCTTTGTTTTACTGAAATGCCATGAGTATAAAAGACTTTAGATAAGAGAGTGCACACTGCCTTCACCCCTCCAATGGGATAATGTGGGAGAAGGTTATTAATAACAGAGTTATTTTTTTGACTTTCAGGTGTGGAATTGGCAATTAGGGGAGTATGTCTTTCTGCAAGCCCATCAGGAAACAGTGAAAAACTTTAGGCTCTTGAAAAATTCAAGACTGCTTTCTTGGTCATTTGATGGAACAGTGAAGGTAATGTGAAGCACAGGTTTGTTTCCTTAAAAAGTATTCAGATATTGCAATGATTATATTTTGATAGCCCAAAAGCACATGGATATTAAGTAATTATTTAAATATTTTCTTATGCCTATATTCTGTTCACCGCAGTCACCTGTATCTTTTGTGTGTTTGTGTTTATACTAATAGACACTTAAAAAGGTTAGAATACCCGATGTGCTTAAGCTCTTGTTTTATAGGTCTGTGTTGTAGCTGATCATACTTTTTAATACAAAATGTTCTTAAAAGTGTCAACTTCTAGGTTTGGGTTTTTTTTTTTAAAGGTATGGAATATTAGTACTGGAAGAATGGAAAAAGACTTCATCTGTCATCAGGGTACAGTACTTTCTTGTGATATTTCTTTTGATGCTACCAAGTTTTCATCTACCTCTGCTGACAAGACTGCAAAGGTATGTCAATTCATTGAAATATACATGCATAAAACTTTGATATCGGGTGGAATGGTTAACGACTAGCGCTAGTTCTTGTCATTAAGAGCGATAACAACTATAGGTTAAAAGCCCTTCTAATTTAAAAAATTTCACCTTAAACTCTATTCATTGGTCCAATTCTGCCCACTGGATACCATAGACTATAATGGAATCCCTCACAACATGAAGCCTTAAAATTATTCAAAGAAGCAGCAATGTTATCTCCTTAAGTAGCCTTTCTTCCCTGGGCTAAAATCATTCCTTTGATCTTTTTAAATAGGTCATGAATTCAATAATCTTTCCTCTCTCAAAAAGACAGTTTCATAGAAGATGCAAATCTGAGGTGGCCAACAAATTACAAAAACTTAACTAATAGTAAGGAGGCAAGATAAAATAAAAAATTTTAATATACTTTATGCCCAAAAATGGGCAAAAACTGAAAAAAAAACATTTTCATATTCCCTGGTTCCAAAATGTCAGTCAACAAACTTTCCGGAAAACAATCGGCCACATCTTATTTAATGGAATATATAGCATATATTTGACTCAGCAATTCCATCCTGAAGAATAATCCCTAGAAATTAAAAACTTATTTACATAAAATTGCCAATTTCAAGAGTGTTAAGCACAATTAACAAGAACAGCACCAACTGGTAGAAGTGAAATGAACAATCGCTTTGGAAAACCCTGGTTTCCAGTGTCTCCTAAATGAACCCTGTGCTGGACAAGACCACTCGTGGTGGTATGCCAACAGAGATGTGGACGTACAATACACCAGAAAAATGGTTGGACTGCACACCATTCATATAAATAAAACGGAAGGCCTTTGGTTATGGTCGAATCTTTGTCACCTCCAGAACCAATTTAGAATTTAAATTTGCATTGGTATACAGTAATCAAGATATTGACCTCTAAGATGAAGGCCCATTGAGGTCCACGTCATGTGATTGGGTGCCACTATAAAAGTTGGCCAAGGCCTGGCTTTCTCCCTCTCTCTCAGGCATTCCACTCTTTCTGCCCGGTAGCCGAACAGCCTCTCCATCCCTAAGGTACAGATATGCCATTCCCCTGCAAGCGGAGCCCAGGCCCTTCCAAACAGGTACCAAACCTGCAGCACCTGATCGGGGCTTTTAAAGCTCGTTTTATTTATGAAAATGTATTTGAACCACCAAAGTGAAATGAAATGAAAGCATGAAGTACTAAATGCAACTGCTGAGACTAGGAACAGCTTTATTGTTCCCCTGGGAGCTCTTGTTGGTTGTTTTCTGTGTTTTATTTTATTTTTTCAATGAAGCTTCTGTTCTAAAGAACAAAATACTAATTATAGCCATAATAACCTATTGTGCCTCATTTTTCATTAGCTCATTAAGGAAAAACAGGTCAGATTGATTATCTGACTGAAGCTCAAGTTTTGCTGTTGCTTAAGTCCACATCATCAGTATGTTGCATTTGGAGGATGAAGATGGAGCATTGAGGTATTCATTTCTAGTTTCAGACTATTTCTGTGCAGTAGAATTATTTATTAAAATTAATAATGCTGGCATTGTACACATATACATTAAACAATCTTTCTATGACTGATTGTCTTTGCTCTGTTAGACTAAAAATCATCTTATTCAGTTGGTTGTATATTCTTCAGATTGTTTTATTACTGTTTCTCATACTTTTGTGTTTTGCATTCATTATTCCCTATCTAGTTTTCTTGCTGTTTCTACACATATCCAACACTATCAGAGATTTAGCTAACATACAAAGAGTATTTTTTCTCCTTTTCTTGGAAGCTCAGCCATGTGGGTGTAAGTTGTTTCCATATTGGTGCTGGTACGGCTCATTGGGAATATCAGCAGGGTGGCCTATGCTTTGCCTGCTCTTCCAACCCTTGCTGTTCTACTTTTGGTGTTAGAAGCATACCAGTTCATACCTGAAAGCCTTCACTTATTCAACAAGACCAAATAAGTAAGAATAGAATCCGGTTATAAGGCAAAACACGTAATATAATAAAAATAATTTTGTTTCACTCTTTTTCTTTTTAAAGAGATGAAGTCTCATTCTCTTGTCCAGGCTGGAGTGCAGTGGCTGAATAGTAGCTCACTGCAACCTCCAACTCCTGGCCCAAGATTCTCCTACTTCAGCTCTCTGAGCTGAGACTACAGGAAGGTGCCACCATGTCTACTTAAGATCATTTTGGATAAAAATATAATCTTCTTTGTCACAAATGAAATTCATCACAAAAGCACACTTTTTCTAGCTGTATAATTGTGGGTTTTTGTTTTTTTATTTTGTTTTTTTAATGAGACAGAGTCTCACTTTGTTGCCCAGGTTAGAGTGAGTGCCGTGGCATCAGCCTAGCTCATAGCAACCTCAATCTCCTGGGCTCAAGCGATCCTGCTGCCTCAGCCTCCTGAGTAGCTGGGACTACAGGCGTGCGCCACCATGCCTGGCTAATTTTTTTTTGTATATATATTTTTAGTTGATCGATTAATTTCTTTATTTTTAGTAGAGACATAGTCTCGCTCAGGCTGGTTTCGAACTCCTGACCTTTGAGTG